TTATGGTCAAAGACCATTCGTAAAATCGACTATTTGTAAAATCGATGTTTGTAAAATGGCTGTTTTATTGTACTTACTATTTTCTCTGTTTTAATGGGCTACTGTAGTTTGAAGTGTGCTGTCTGCGAAAAAGATTGAGCTTTTTGTAAATTAGTATGCTCAACACACTTTGCACATTGTCACTAGATGTCATAATTAGGGTTAAATTGTTGAGGGATAAATTTCTGCAGTTACAAAATTTGCCAAAGGTCGGATTGAAAATCAGACCCGACATTCATTTCAAATTTGCCAAGAAGCATTGCATTAATGCCGTCATACTAGTTGATTTATCCCGTCTTCTATAAAAGATTACAACATTCTGATTACGCAAGACCAATAATGGGAACATAATGAGCGAATATTTGGTTATTAATGGTGGACAGAAAACTGACAAACGATTTTATGATGATTTACAAGACAAATTGAGTCTTCAGTATTGAAGAGTTTTGACACCAGAATACAGGTAGCGTTGTATCTCTAGAGATGACTTTACAGAGATGACTGTAAATAAGTCTTTACTACTTTATAGACTCGCTAGAGAAAAATTTATTTGCAATTACATTGCCATGTTCTTCTTTGATATAAAGTAGATGAATGGTTTGTCCTCCCTTTCCCAATAAATACAGTTTCTTCTTCCTCATCTAATAATATAATGTATCTAGATTTGCCATCATCATTTGAGCATGTGCAAGTCATGATCTTAAGAACCACTCTTTGTCAGTGGTCTTAAATTGCAAGAAAATTATTCAATGATGATGGTTCCTCTGCAGTATTCTGTTCTATTGATTCCAGAGGTCCTTGGTACAGTAGTTTTGCTGTAGGTTTTTTTTTTTTTTAAGTAACATCTGCGCACCATGTATTTTTTTAAGTAACATCTGCGCACCATGTATTAATAATATGCGCTATACAAATCCCCAACCATTACAATTACCATTAACTTCTCAATTTTCTCTTCCTTTCCCCTGTAAGACAACTCTGCACCTCTGAATATCCGATACCGCCATTAATCTACAGACCAGCCAGACGATTACCAAAACAAGGACGGGATCAAACAAAAAGGGTAAAGAAATGAAATCCCCAAGCATGCCTGGCCCTGAGTGTAAAGTTGTTTGTGAAAAAATTCAGAAAAATTTATCATCATCATATTATCAACACTGAACCACCTCCTGTAATGTAGGCCTGGCATAATCATCATGTACAATAGTGTATTCCATGTAATCTCAGTGGTCTTCATATTGCCAGATAAACCACTTTCTGACCATCTTCTACTGTATGTTATAGTAGGTCTTCTGTTGCCAATATCATGTAACGATGTTATTGAAACCTGGCTAAAGCTTTTCAAATCTTATATCCCCTTTTAGATGGACCACCAGTTTCCAAATCAAAAAGCAAATGAAATAAAGTCAAACCTCGCACCCAGAAACCCCCCCCCCCTTGGAAGAACCTGGCTACGGGCCTGCTAACTAGTGTTAACCGATCGGGCGTTCTCACGCGGGTGCTAACGGTTAGTGCTAATGGTTAGCTCCCAGATGCTCCAGTTTGAACTATTAAAAGCATTGCACATACCTGAGATTGTGTGGCAATACCTCCATTATAAAAATATGTACCCATATGCTTTACAACTTATCTTGTAAGAAAAACAATTTTGAATTGCAGTATGTTGTTTTGTGGAGGAAATATTGTTCCGTTAGGTCGAGGGTTAATCTATACAATGGATATTATTCAAAGTATGTTATTTATACAATAAAGACTAATGCAACTTAAATCAAAATTCTGTATTCAGTTTCCTTGTATCAGCTGGAATCCTTTACATGAGAAGCTATTAAATTTGGAATACCGTGGTCAGAGATTACAGTAAGAGGAAATTCTGAAAATTAGAAAAGTGGGAAGGGGGAAGAAAATTGCAATCAATTTGAGAGTGCCATTTCCGGCCATCTAGAGGTGCCATAGACATAACGGTGGGACCGAGGTAGCCTAGACTCTCCATCTGTAAAATTTCCCACCCCAGACCCTCTCTATTTCAGTTTCTTGGTTCCGTCAAGCATGGATCCAGTGGAGGGACCCCCCCCCCCCCCCAAGTTTTGTCTCTAAATTTTAAAATTTCCATGTATATTGAATATTTAATATGTATCGAATACAGTAAGCACTAATCACTATCTATTCTGATAATAATATTATAACCACTGACATTATCAGCTACTGTATGTGACTAAGAAACGGAAGCAGATAAAAAAATTATAGTGGAGGTATGAGATTATGATCATGTTATACACAGTACCAAATGAAATCTATTGGTTCATCAAGGACACTCACCCCAAGTAGATCATCCTTGAGGAAGATCCACTGGCCAACTTATGACTTCCTTAAAGAAGAAATACAAACCCACAATATTGATGTGTCATAGAGATATGGTGGGATAAAGGCTTGTGCTTTTAAGGTATAGATTGTTTTGTTTTACATAAAACTTGATGTGCAATTTAATTGGACTGAGAGTGTTCTCTCTTTAATTTGGTCAAACTACAATTTTTAAATTATGTTCTTGAGGAACGTCTTAAAGATGATGATCAAGAAAAGTAATTAGCTATGTAACGGGATATATTCTTATAGATATGGATATTGTGCCATAAATATGGGATCCCCCATACAATTGAGATGCTACAGTACTGTAAACCAGGATTTAGATAGAAATCATCAGAAGATATCTCCATTTAGGATAAAGAGACTTGATAACGTGACTTGATTTCAGAGATTGTACAAGGCCATTTATGACCATGTTGCCAAGAACCCAGGGTACTAATAACACATACTGGTACCAGGCCTAGGTTGATTTTCGATATTTGGCACATGCTAAACTTTTTAGCCTCCCTTGTAGCCTCATTAACAAATATCCTACTAATTTCACTTTGGCTGTTTCGTTGTCACTTCTCCAACCACTCCAGCATTGTCGGTATCATGCGTAGTTAAATTGTGAGCGATGTTTATAACTACCCTCACTAAAAAATTTAAGAACAGTTGCCAGATATTCTACTTCAACCTTGACAACCCCACAAACAAGGGGGGAAGTAAGAAGGGATGAATGTGAAAAAGAGGAAGCATTGAGCCATAGGCCCAAGCTTTGGCTAGGGAACTGTGGGATGCCTAGGGCACTCAGTGGGGGCACAGGGTGTGAAGCTCCAGTGTTTTATTCTTTTATAAGTCATATTTTAATCGATCTTGGATCTAACATTTTACAATTAACATTTATCTTTACAATATGATCACTATATTTAAAAAGTCTCCCTGGGCCCCTTCTACTTTTCCTAGATTCACCACTGTTCATTCATGTTGTATAATCAATTTAATTAAAGCATTTTCTTTTTAATACAGGTTTTTTAATGCAGGCCTATATTTTAGAATTAAGAACTTGCATAGTACCTGAGGCTCATTCAGTAATTTCATGAGAGCTATTGATTTATGATATAACACTGCTAACCAAGCATTTGTTTACTTGTCTTTTTAGGGGTCAGTGAGTTAATTCCGCTTTATATACTTGATGATATGCTAGTGACCTGAACCCAATTCTGAAAGATTTATTTTTTGTAACATACACAGAAACAAAATTAATTATTAGTTTCACTTGCATACTACATTTCCTATAGTGGTAAACAGGCTAGTGAATCAATATTTGCTATTTAAAAAAAGAATCAAAATGAGTTTTTGTAATGCATACCTTGATTTTTTTTTTCCACATCTGCTTGGCTTTGACAGTATTTCAAAATCATGATTATTTTTATTTTCTATGGGAAAATGATTGGTTTAAAAAAAATAGTAAATAGTAAAATCATATCAAATGCTAACACATCATCCACTCCACAAAGGTCACCTTATGTCACAATCAAATACAGGACAATTCCAGGCTAACACACTTTTGAATAGAATATTTATCCCTGGATGAACGATAAATGAAGAATTTTGAATCTACAGTTGAAGCATTTTTAATACTAATCCACCACAAGTTTTGTTCATAAGTATTTTATAATGACCTGGGCTTTTTCTAATTTTTGTTAGCTTAATATTATACCTCAATTTAAATAATCCACCACAAGACTTGTTACTGTATTCTTTTGTTGGCCTAAATTCTATCAACATGGTCTTCCAAGTGCATCAAGCTTATTCCTTTTGTATGGTTTAATGCTTGGTTAACTGAATGAAAAAGAGAAATCAACAGTGATTACATTGAATGTAAATAATAATAAAGGTGTTTAATCCAGTTTACACTATTAAGTACTTTAAGTACAGTTCACACCACCAATTGTCTTTCACTAACATACTTTTGTGCATACCGGCTGACCAATATCATCCATGGTTGGATATAACATATGATACAAGGAAAATAGCAATAATAATGTATGGAAATGGTAATTCTTATTGTCCTAGGAAATAGCAATATTGTCCAAGGAAATAATAATAGTGACATCATTGAGTAGAGCTCAGGGCTATATCATTATTGGACATCAGGGTGTGTGGGTATGCAGAAATGGACCAACTGGGGAACATGAATACATACTCCACCACCCTACAGAGTATTCCATGATGTTGTGGCAACTAATCAGTGCATTTTGCATTCCAAACCTACCAGGTACCCATTTATAAGTTTTTTGTCCAAGGGCATGAGCGACATGCACAGGGAGGATTTAAAACCCCCTGAATATTAAGAGGCCTGACCACAACCATTACTACAACCATCTTGCTTTTAAATTTTATGGGTTTGTAACCTGGGGGAAAGTGCTTCCCATTTAACCCTAAGGCCATGGGTTTCTTTCGAATCTGTATAATATTTTCACCAAAAAAAAATATTTGTAGCGCCAGCAAATAATGAAAGATTCCCACATTAACATCATTAAAAAAAATTAATTTCATTCTTTGTTAATGATTGTTTGAGAGAAGTACATAATAATATCATAAAATTTGTTTCTTTGTAGCCATGGGCAAAGAGAGCAAAGATACCGAAGAGAGATGAATCAAAAGTGCCAGAAAGTGCTTACAAATCTTTATTCTACACATCTATATGGTTTATAATGTTGTACATAATATTCGGACATCATGAGCATATATTCAGAGATCCAGTTTCATGTTTCACAGGTAACAATATATTAAATTGTCTCTATTGATTAATGTATTGATTATAACTTAGTTATAAGTGAACACTATATAGCTATAGAGGTTGTGTCGTGCATGTAAAATTATATGAAGTCTGTGGGCATATTAAATTACATTGTAATATATTTAGGCACAATACATTAAGGTTGGTTTACTTAATGTGATGGTTGATGTCACGGTTTATGATTTAGCAATATTCTGGTTCACTTATTATCACTAACTTTATCATTATCGCTCCACTCGCGCAAGTCTGCAGTTCAACTGTTACCTCCCCCCTCTACCTTCTGGTATACCTACTCAGTCCACTCTCGTATCAGTTTTCTTTTTGTACGCTCTTCTGCAATCCTCATGCGTATTACCGTAGCTACTCGGGTGTAGACAAACCCAATTACAAAAAGCGTTCTCTGTTGATGCTGCCATTGCCGGAAACCTCCTTGGGGTCCTTGGCATGCATGTCATGTCCATGTGGTGCAAAGTAAATGAGAGATGGAAACAATAGGCCTATACTGTATGTACTATATTTCCATTATTTACATTTGTAGCAGATGATACGTAAAAATCCCCTGCCTGAAGTTCCCAGGCATTTGCAGATGGACAATAACGTCTCTGAATGGATTGGTCTATAAGCTTTCCCTCCAGTCGGTATCTGAAATCGGACATAAAGTAGGGTGTAGGCTTATACCCAAAAAATTAAAATACTAAAACTGTAAAAATTAAACTGTACTTCATTTTTTCTCTTCTTTTTCTTCCTCTGTTTTTTTGTAACTTTCTATCTGTCTCTTTCTGTCTGTCTTCTTTCTTTTCTTCATCTCTGTTATTGTTAATTTCCTTTTCTTTAATAATAATAATAGTAATAATAGTGTAGTTTTATATAGCGCACATATCCATCTAATGCAAGATGCTCAGGGCGCTTGATGTGTGGACTAGGAACTCGATCAATGACTTTCTTCGCCCCTAAGGGTCCCTTCGTGTCTGTGCT